AAATGACGTTTCCCCTCCCCAAAAATAGTAAACGTATTAGAATATGTGTTAAAGGTTAACAATGTACTTCCTGAAAAAATAAATGCCTTCAAATCCTTTGCTTTATCACTCTGTGCCTGATCTGCACCAGAAATGGTATCCTACGCTACTTCCGGTGGCTAACTTTTTCTGCTTTGGATTTAAACATAAATCTAGTCTTTTTGAGTTTTATGTTTTCGTTTTGTTTTAACCTTATGTCATATAGTGCATAATCTAAAGAAATAAACAACTAAAATGCAGATAAACATGGTTTAATCATATTTTGCCAGACTGCTCTGAGCATGTCTGATGATGTCAGAGAAGCAGTTTAACGAAAAATATGTAAAAAGCATAAAAATTGTCTCACAAAATTCATAAAATATTTCTTAAAGATGTGTATTAGCATTCTTTAGTGAGTTAAGGATATAAATAAGTAGTTTTAGTACCATAATTACAATATTTATGGACACCCAGATGTACATCTGTTCGCGCATGCGCAGAACGGATCGGGTGGTACGGGCCCCGCCTTTCAATTCTTCTTCTTGATTTCCGGTCTTGTGCCAAATTCTGTTCCCCTGTGAAAATCTGTTCCCCCTGAGTCGGGAGCTCGCATTGCAGCCAGAGAGGCGGATCTGCCGGACCCGACCATTTTCACGATTTCTCAGTTAAAACAACTCTCATAATCATGTCAAGGTTGCAACATCGACAGTAATCGGCAGTCATTGTTTACAAATTGCAATATAAATGAATGAATAAATGAGGTCTTCTTACGCTGTTTTGTGTTATTTTAAACGGCAAGAGAATTGGTCTTTTTCCAACTTTTGACACGAATAAAAGTCAGTCACCAAAGACAGTTTTCCAACTCGTAGTGTGTATTTATAATTTTTCATTGCTGAATTAAGAGGATGGAAACTGGCTGATAGCAGGGCACAAAAATCAATCAATCAATTTCTTTATTGTCAACTACAGTTTGCTTTTTAATTGAGATTTCACTTTCAGTACAAACCGTTCATCACATACATTAGGGTGGGGTGGGTGCAAAGGGCCCCACTGCGAGGTGGTTCCCTATAGCCCTGCCTTTGTCACTGTGGAAAGACAGGAGCCACATTTTTTCTTATTAATAGAGGAGAATAAGAATATTTTTATTTAACCTTTATTCTACCAGGAAATCCCTTGAGATAAAATCTCTTTTTCGAGGGAGACCTGGCCAATAATCCTAGATATCTTTTAAATACAGTTGCCAAACTCACCCAGAGCCATAGCTCTGTTGAACAGTCCATCCTGCCTACTCTTAGCAGTAATGATTTTATAGGATTCTTTATAAATAAGATTGATCGTATTAAAAATAAGATCATTAACACTTCTCTAACTATGATTGGTTTATCTCTGGAAGGTGAGGCAGTATCTGAGGTAGCCATATAATCTGAACTGGGTTTAGACTGCTTTGATCCAGTTGAACTTTCAGAGTTAGTAACACTATTGTCTTCATCTAAGCCTTCAACTTGAATGTTAAATCCAGTTCCAACCAAGTTATTTAAGGAGGTATTCCCTTTGATCTCTTCCTCCATTTTAGATGTGATTAATCTATCTCTGTTACAGGGATATGTACCAAAGGCTTTTAAGGTTACTTTAATCAAACAGTTACTTAAGAAGCTTTCTCTTGACCCAGATGACTTGGGTAAATTATAGACCTATAGCCAATCTTTCTTTGTTATCTTAAATTCTTGAGAAAGTAGTTGCCAAACAAGTGAGCGCCCACTTACACCATGATGAACCTTTTGAAGAGTTTCAGTCTGGCTTTAGAGCTCATCATAGCACTGAAACAGCTCTGGTGAAAGTCACTAATGATATTCCCATGGCCTCAGATAATGGACTTGTATCTGTACTTGTCCTGTTAGATCTCAGTACTGCATTTGATATAGTTGACCATAATATTCTTTTAGAAAGCCTTGAACATTTTGTTGGAATAAAAGTAACAGTGCTAGACTGGTTTAAATCATATCTATGTGACCGATTTCAGTTTGTTCATGTTACTGACAACTCGTCCTCATGCTCAAGGGTTACCAGCGGAGTACCACAGGGATCCGTGCTAGGACCAATTCTCTTTCCTTTAAATATATACATGTTTCCAATCGGTAGAGTTATTAGACAGCATGGGATTCATTTTCACTGTTATGCTGATGATACCCAGCTATATCTGTCTATACAACTAGATGAAGCTAACCCATTACATATATTACAGGCATGTCTTGAAAACATAAAAACCTGGATGACTCTTAACTTTCTGCTCCTAAATGCAGACAAAACAGAAGTTATAGTCTTTGGACCAGAGTCTTTGAAAAAAGAAGCTGATTAGTCAGTCACTTCATTTGGATGGGATATAATTGATCTCAGATAATAAAGTAAAAAAATTGATCAGGACCAGTCATTTAAATCCCATATCAAAGAGGTTTCTAGAATTTCCTTCTTTCATCTGAGGAATACATTAGAAATATTCTGTCCAGGGGTGATGCTGAGAAACTAGTCCATGCATTTGTTACTTCAAGGCTGGACTATTGTAATTCTTTGCTATCAGGAAGTCCACAACCTATTTAAAAGCCTTCAGCTGATCCAAAATGCTGCAGCGGGGCTCGCTGGAATCACCACATCCATCGCCTCCGGTCTGAATGCACCATTAGAATAAGAGATTACACCTACAAAAGAAATGAATGGTTGCAGCTAAACTTGTTTTTCTTATTTGCAGTTTTTTGCCAGTACAGATGATAAATAAGGTGTAGCAACACAATAACTGAGCAAAAAAAACAACTACAATTTCATCCTATTTCTCAATTGATTTTAATGATAAAGTTGAATGTATCTTTACAGAAGCAAACAGTTATAAACCATTTATAACGTTAAATGAAGTTCTTTGGGGAAAAAACAAAAACATCCCTCTTGTTACAAAAAAAGGAAAAAAGGAAATATTTTGCCCCGACTATGTGCAGAAGAAAAAAAGAAGCCATCACACTATTTCCCCATATTTAAACAAAGAAATTCTATTTTCTTTCGTTTCCTCACTTCATATAAAGTGTCATTTGTCAGTTTCCTGGTGAAAACGTCAAGATCATCCACCCAATGACAAAGTAGAAGAGAAACACTGGATATATCACGAGTGCCTTGCGGTTAGACAGTTGACTGTCTGCAAGGAAGGCTGTGGAAGCAAACGTGGACCATCCAAAAGATGCTGTCACTACTGCCAGTCGCACGGAAAAGCTCACGATCCCTGTACCTCCGAGCAGGATGATCCGACACACAACCAGGGCCAATGTCAGGGGCATGATGCAGTATCCCAACACACAGAGGCTCTGGAAGAAAGAGATGGTGCCACCCAGGAGCTTGGAGTTAAGAGTGATGACGATGGAGCCAAACCAAATGATAACAAAGACCTGAAACAAGATATATTTGAAAAAGACAGTTATATTATTGTCAAACTTACGAATGAGACAAACTGCACTTGTAGCTTCAATCCAGCAAGTGGCAGTACTGAGAACATACAAGTGGTTCTACCTTTATCTTTTAAAAAAAAATCTGCATTTCAACAGATTTCCTTTTTAACTGTGTGATACATTTAAAATAAAAAACAAAAATAATTCACAGTTATTTTCTTTTATTACAATAAACAGGGAAATCTCAGATATCTACAACACCATGAGGAAACATTTTCAGTCAAACTGTTATTTATGTAGTCTATGTTCACACGAGCATAGATTATTATTAAGTAAAGCTCAAAGACTGAAAGTCAACAGACAGCATACAACTTGTGATCTCACGTAGACCTGTCAGTATAAAATCATTTAAAAAAGTGTATTTACACATGTATATAAATGATTACTCTACTAAATTAGGTTTACATGATAAGATAGTCTAAGGAGAATGTATATTTTTGGCCTCAACAAGGAAAAGTGCAGGCCCTTCGACAGATCATTATAAAAAGATCTTTAAATCACTTTTTAACATTTGTTAACTCACCCTTATTGGTTACTGCTTCCACTGACTGAATAAAACACTGCAGCTTTACAGCTTTGGTGGTTTGTGTACATTTCATTTGTGCCAACAATAGGCGTGGCTATGTAGATTTCTATATGACAGTGTTAATCTATACTGGGTTTCTAAAGGGCGCATAACCCTGGGAAAGTAATGTGTATGGAAATGTTACCTGGTCTTTCAAAAGACCCAGGCTTTCAAATGAAAATGGTAAAGGGGCTGATATCCTGTACATTCTGAGCTTTTTAGTGGTGGGGTTGTGTAGAGCTTTGTTTCTTTACTGTAGTACTTTACTCCACCAGCGTTGGAGTAAGCAATGAAGGTGAATGTACAAATGTTGTTTCTCATACCTTACGCCTGCCACAAAATAAGTTTTAAGATATTTTTTAATGAGAAAGTACACCTCAAAATTGCATCTGTCATCAGTCTGTCAAGAAATAGCCTAATTTTAAATTGTGTTGAAGCATTTAGAGCCCCAGGTTGATGCCAGTGAGGACTGCCAACTTATCTAGGATATGGAGTGTGATCTCTGCCAAACCATATCCTTAACATCAGCCAGTCAGTCGGTTATTAGGTCCAGGTCACACCAGTTAATTAAAAAGTCCTTCAAATATGTAGTGAACGAAAATGAATATAAACTGTTAAATGGTAGCCTATATGGTAAAAACTGCAGCTGTCAAAATATCAAATGTAAATTTTCACCAGAAGGTTTATTTCTAAACTGTTTTGCCACAGTTTAAAGCCAAATATTCAGAGTAATGATCTGACTGAGCACTTTAACTTGTAGAAACAAGAACTATACATTCTCCTTAGACT